TAACATAAAAGACAAATGGTACGTACCCTGGGAAGTGAAATCTGAACTGAACGTGGCGTGCTAATCAACTCTAATAAACTAATTAACCACCAAATAATTAAGCACCAACTTCTGGATATTGCCTTAATTTCTTTAATCATGCACATTGTACAAGGCAAAAAAAAAAAAAAAATCATTTCCTTCTTCGAATAATTGTTTTGTTTGTCCATGTTTTATACGCTACAAGTTTGACTCAACAAATATTCCAAATACGAATCTTTTTTTTTTTTAATTGTTATGTAATCTGCTAAATGGACAGATAAACAGCTACTACGAAGATGATATGTTACTTAATAACCTGCAACTTTCACTTTACATCAGGCTTTGAAAATCACTTTTTTTAATAAAAAAAACTCACATGCACATAAAACTAAGCATTTGGTATTCACTTCACTTCAGTTCAGAGGTGTAATCAGAATGCCATTTCTCAGTTGATTATTTGTAGTATCTTCAACAACAAATACTACATTTGCTGCTGCTGAACATTTTGAAGTTGTTTTCAAACTTTCCTAACAATGGTGGTCGGTGAATTTAACCGACTCAACAGCATTAGTCTGAGCAAAACAAAGAGCTTCACTAACGCAGCCAACAGGGGAATTTTTTCCAGGACTTCTACTAGAGAAGAAGAAGATAAAGATGAAGAATCAGCCCTGAAATGGGCTGCTCTGGAAAAGCTCCCAACATTCCGGCGTATACAGGTTGGAATTCTTAACGATCAAATCGATGAAGGCGGCGTCCGGCACAGAGAAATCGATGTGACGAAACTCGGGCCGTTGGAGAAGAGGAATTTGGTTGATAAGTTGGTGAGAACTGCTGAGGAAGATCATGAAAGATTTCTTCTGAAACTCAGAGAACGCATTGACAGGTAACTTCTAATTTTGAGCCCAAATGAAACAAATTTCTGTTTCCTCTGTTATTCATTTTATTTATTTATGTTTTTTTGCTGTTGTTGGTGCTTTCCCCTGATGATAATTGATATGGTTTGAACTTTGAAGAGTTGGAATTGAGCTTCCAACAATTGAAGTAAGATTTGAGAATTTAAGAGTTGAAGGAGAAGCTTATGTCGGCAGAAGAGCTTTGCCCACATTGTATAACTTCTCTGTAAACATTTTGGAGGTAGGTAGACCATTCAGAAACATTTTCAGTTCTAAGTTACAGAGGTATTGTGTTCTCCTTAAATTTCATCTGATTACCCTGTTTTTGTTCTGAAGGGAATCCTATATTCTCTCCATCTTCTTCCAAAGAAAAAGAAATCTTTTCCAATCCTGCATGATGTCAGTGGAATTACCAAACCTGGCAGGTAAAAAAACACTAGTGTTTGAAGGGTCATTTGAACAAGGATTAAAATTTGTGTTTCTGCTGATCCTCACTAAATTGGCAGATTGACACTGCTTCTAGGACCTCCAAGTTCAGGAAAAACCACATTATTATTAGCTTTGGCTGGAAAAACTCAGTCTGACCTCCAAGTAACAAAATTGAATTGTCTTTTAGTTTCTCATTATTGCTGATTTCAACAGTTCCTGATACCGTGTTCTCGGGACATATAGGTTTCAGGGACAATAACATATAATGGCCATACAATGGATGAGTTTGTTCCTCAAAGATCATCAGCATACATTAGCCAACATGATCTTCATATAGGAGAACTGACAGTGAGGGAAACAATCGCCTTTTCGGCAAGATGTCAAGGAGTTGGTGCTAATTATGGTGAGAAATTTTTATGATTTTGAAACTTATCTCGAGTATTATTGTCTGTAATACAAAGCTTTGTTTCGGTTCAAAATGGAGCAATAGTTGATTTTGATTCACTTGGAAAATTGGCAGAAATTTTGACAGAATTGTTGAGGAGAGAGAAGGAAGCAAATATTAAGCCGGATCCTGATATTGATGTATACATGAAGGTCAACTTTTCTCAACCAGAAGTTTTAGTCCCAAGGCATTAGCTGAGTATCAAATGCTTCTTTCAGAAACTTTTTTTGAGTTTGTTGAATAACTTTCCCTGACATTATGGATTTGCCAATGATGCAGTCATTGGCTCTTCAAGGCCAAAAGTCCCATGCTGCTACTGATTATGTTCTCAAGGTAAACCTTATTTGAATTGCTGAAAACTCTTCAATATCTGGCATTGTATATTCTCAATCTTCGGAATGTATTCAGATATTGGGACTTGACATCTGCGCCGATACCCTAGTTGGAGATGCAATGACACGCGGGATTTCTGGAGGTCAGAGAAAGCGTGTCACAACTGGTAAGAAGACAATGCATGACTTCTTTCTCTTACAATAACAGGCAAGACTACTCATTCTATGTTTTGTGGAAGAATGTATGCATCGTGTTCTGAATGGTAGAAATCGATGTTGCAACCACACTCTTTTTTTATCGGTAGATTTTGATGCTTAAATGCAAACCAAATGTGCACAGATTTCTTAGGAACCATTCTCAAGGATACTTGAATCTCAAAGCTTTTCGTTTGTTTTGCAAAATAACAGCCGAAATGCTGGTTGGACCATCAAAGGCGCTTTTTATGGATGAGATATCTACTGGTTTGGATAGTGCAACAACCTATCAAATTGTGAATGTCATGAAACAAATCAACCACATTCTCCAAGGGACTACTGTGATCTCCCTCCTGCAACCTCAACCTGAGACTTATGATCTATTTGATGATATAATTCTCTTATCGGATGGTCAAATAGTGTATCAAGGTCCCCGGGACAATGTACTTGAATTCTTTGAGTCCATGGGTTTCAAATGCCCTGAGAGAAAAGGAGTTGCTGATTTCCTTCAAGAAGTAAATCTTCAGCTTTGCGATTTATTGCAGTGCTTTCTTAAATGCAACGCATGAACCATTCTTGTTATCTTACTATATCTGTCTTTGTTGGACAAATGAAGGTCACATCAAAGAAAGATCAAGAGCAGTACTGGTTCAATCGAGACGAACCTTACAAGTTTGTTTCTTCTAGAGAATTTTCAGAAGCATTCCAATCATTCCATGTTGGTCGTAAACTCAGTGATGAGCTTTCTGTTCCTTTTGACAAATCCAAAGGGCATCCTTCAGCTCTAACAACTAAGAAGTATGGCATTGGAAAGAGACAGCTCCTGAGAGCTTGTGCTTCCAGAGAACTGTTACTGATGAAAAGAGATTCCAAAGTCCTGATATCCAGGCTAGCAGAAGTGAGTTGGATGTCATTAAATTTTGATTTCTGTTTCGCACTTGTAAAAGGTAGATATCCAGATTCCAAGAAGTATAACACCTTGTTTTTTCTCTTGTTTCTGATTTTCAGCTCATTTTCATGGCATTTGTAGTCATGACTATGTTTCTGCGAACAGAGATGCATAAAAGAACAGTTGAAGACGGTGGAATTTTTATGGGTGTTCTATTTTTCTCCACCATTTCGCTTGTGTTCTCGGGAATGTCTGAAATGGCATTCAGTATTCTGAAACTACCTGTCTTCTATAAGCAACGTGAGCTACTTTTTTTCCCAGCATGGGCATATGCTCTTCCCACATGGATACTCAAGATCCCTATCACTCTTTTGGAAGTTTTTGTTTGGGTCAGCTTGACGTATTATGTTGTTGGATTTGATCCTGATGTTGGAAGGTAGGATCTGGCTTTTTATGTTTTATGCATGCATGCTTGAGCTTTGAAGACTTATACATGATCAGCTTGCCAAATAGACATTTGTTTTCAAGTATAAGGGCACAACTAGATCTTACAGTAAGGCGTTTTCGCTGAGACAGGAGATCATACAATTGTCTTAGAATACCTTAGCTCAAGATTGTGGAACTCTCCTTAAATTCTCTCAGCATAGAGCACAATGCAGAATAGAAAGTAAATGATTTTATAAAAAGCCAATATTCTATTTTAGATTCTATTTTATTCATTTGTAGTTCCTAGAGCATTTCAAAAGCTAAAATGCACAAAATGCCAAAAGGTTTTTCTAACAGACAGAATATTATCTTGAGGTATATAATTTAGCTTGACAAATAATGACTTCAGGTTCAAAACCTGATGTGTTATAAGCAGGATGTTCCAAGAAAAGATATTAAGGATGGATTTCGGCCTTGCAGGTTTTTTAGACAAGTGTTCCTTTACCTTTGCATTCACCAGATGGCATCAGGACTATTTCGCTTGATGGCCGCATTAGGCAGAGACATGACAATTACTAACACATTTGGATCATTATCGTTACTTGCTGTTATTGTTCTAGGTGGATTCATTTTGTCAAAAGGTAAAGAACTTTTTCTCTAAGCATGTTATTATTTACCAATTCTGCTAATTGCAAGTTTTCTTTTTTTGATTCAATAGTCAAGATTTCTGAACCAAGAATGTCTTATTTGCTGGTCAGATGACATAAAACCTTGGTGGACCTGGGGTTACTGGCTCTCGCCTCTGATGTATGGTCAGAATGCTCTTGCTGTGAATGAATTTCTAGGGAAGAGTTGGAGACATGTAAGAAATGGTTTGCCAATCCGTTTTGCGAAGGATCACAATGCTTCGGGCCATCATGAAAAATACTTTTCTCGCAGGTTCCTACCGGCGCCACAGAGCCACTTGGGGTATTGGTCTTAAGGTCTCGTGCCATTCCCCCGGAAGCACGATGGTATTGGATAGGAGTTGGAGCTCTACTAGGATTTATGCTTCTTTTCAATTTACTGAACGTTTTGGCTCTGAAGTATCTTAACGGTTAGTACAGATTTTGCCGTCCCATAATAAAAATTATCAAACATCATGACTAGCTTCTAAAGGCTGGTTTCTCATGCAGAACTAAACAAAAATGAGGCTGTTCTCTCGGAAGAAATGTTAAAAGATGAGAATGCAGCAAAAGATACAGAGCTTGATATGTTGGCATCAACAGGTACCTAGACTGAGTTTCTGTTTACCCTTACTTGCCACTTGTTTTAGTTTTCTTAATACCTTCCATTTCAAAACTGCAGAAAGTAAGGATGACATAAAAACTATGTCATTCAAATCTGTTGCGCTGGAAAAAGGGAGTGCTGATCGATCTAATTCCAGCAGAAAGAAGGGAATGGTTCTACCATTTCTACCGCTTTGCATGACCTATGAGAACTTGAGATATGCAGTAGATATGCCAAAGGTAGATTTGGAAATGGGAATTTCTTATAAAAATATATATCTGCAAACTACACCTTAACTTCTAACTAAGATGAAGAAGTATCCTTTCCAATTATCTGAAGATACTAGCATACATTTCTCTCTTACTAAGAAAACTATGATTTACTTGAGATTATAACCAGATCCGTTTAGCGGGCACGGTAAATACAGCCTGCAGTTTCTTATGTTCTTCACTTGTGTTCTACATTTGGTTGCAGGAAATGAAAGCACAAGGTATTCCTGAAGACAGGCTGGAGCTTTTGAAAGGTGTAAGTGGTGCTTTCAGGCCAGGAGTACTAACCGCCTTAATGGGGGTTAGTGGGGCTGGAAAGACTACTCTGATGGATGTCTTGGCGGGTAGAAAAACAGGTGGATACATTGAAGGAACAATAACTATATCAGGTTATCCGAAGAAACAAGAAACCTTTGCTCGCATTGCTGGATACTGCGAGCAATTCGACATTCACTCTCCTAATGTTACTGTATATGAGTCCTTGCAATATTCAGCTTGGCTCAGACTGCCTCGAGAAATTGATGCCAACACTAAAAAGGTTATCCATGATTTGCAAATTTGTTCTAAAAGATTAGATATGCAATCTCTAACTAGTGATAAATTGAATCTATTTCAAACTTCCAAACAATTGCAGATGTTTATTGATGAAATCATGGAACTTGTGGAGCTGACCCCACTGAGGGATGCAATTGTTGGATTGCCTGGAATCAATGGTCTTTCAACAGAGCAACGGAAAAGGTTAACGATTGCTGTGGAGCTTGTAGCCAATCCATCTATAATATTCATGGATGAACCAACATCAGGGCTGGATGCTAGAGCAGCTGCAATAGTTATGAGAACCGTAAGAAACACAGTGGATACAGGCCGAACAGTTGTTTGCACCATTCATCAGCCAAGCTTTGACATCTTTGATTCTTTTGATGAAGTGAGTAACTGTTAGGCTCCCATAGCTTTCATTTCTAGCCTTGAAAGAGAACATGATTAGCAGCTCATTACATTTGTATTGCAGTTGGTACTCTTAAAGCGAGGAGGAGAAGAGATATATGTTGGTCCATTAGGAAAAAACTCTTCTGAGCTCATTGACTACTTTCAGGTAAAAGGCAATTTATGAGGCACTCTTAAAACTTCAGCAGTCAAGTTCTCATTCTTTTTTTTTTTTTTTTTTTTTTTTTGCTTCTCTTAAGGCAATCCCTGGAGTCAGTAAGATAAAAGACGGTTATAACCCGGCGACTTGGATGTTGGAGGTGACTTCTGTTGCACGAGAAGCAGCTCTCGGAATTGATTTTGCAGATTTTTATCAAACTTCTGACCTGTACTGGTGAGCTACTCAAAATATTTAAGGATTACTGTACAGCTTGATGGAACTCACTTTTAAGAACTTTGCTCTTATACATTATTAATATGATGCAATTTTACTATAGTTCTTCATAGCTCGTACTCCTACGAAGATGTAATGCTAATATTATTAGTGTAATGATTGATTAAATTCAATTGATGAATAGGAGAAATAAAGCTTTGATTGATGAGCTCAGTGTACCTGCACCAGATTCTGAAGAGTTGCACTTTGCTACTCGGTACTCACAGTCATTTTACACCCAATTTCTAGCCTGCCTGTGGAAACAACATTGGTCTTATTGGCGGAATCCAGGATACTCAGTAGTGAGACTCTTTTATTCCAATGCCATTGCCTTGATGTTTGGAACAATATTCTGGAATCTTGGCACCAAAAGGTAAATGTTGAAGAAAGAACAATTTAGATTTCAGGATACTATGATGTAACCTATTCATTACCTGTTCGCTGTGAAACAAATCCAACCTTTCGTACATGTTATGTCAGGAATAAAGAACAAGACCTTTTCAATGCCATGGGCTCCATGTATGCAGCTGTGCTATCATTAGGAGTACAAAATTCTTCAACAATTCAACCTGTTGTTGCTATTGAGAGAACAGTCTTTTATAGAGAAAAAGCTGCAAGGATGTATTCGGCGCTGCCATACGCCTTTGCTCAGGTAATAACTTCTATAATTCTTAAGCTCATAGATTATTATAAGTCCATCAGCATAGCAATGAGTTTTGAAGATGCAGAAAAGTAAAATTGAAAGCAACTGCTTGATCGAAAGATCATTGCTGCATACATAGACTCATCACAATCACTTAATAAATTCATAAACCTGATCTCCTCGTTGGCCTTCTTCTTCGAATGCAGATGGTGATTGAGCTTCCTTATACATTTATTCAAGCTGTCAGTTATGGGATTATAGTTTACGCGATGATTGGATTCGAATGGACAGCTGCAAAGTTCTGTTGGTACCTCTTCTTCATGTATATGACCTTGTTGTACTACACCTTCTACGGCATGATGTCAGTTGCAGTAACACCCGACCCCAGCATTGCAGCCATTGCTTCATCAGTTTTTTACTCAATATGGAATCTGTTTTCAGGATTTGTAATTCCTCGAACGGTAAGCTCCCCTACCGTACGTGTGGAATAGGATTAATTTGTTGAATATGGAATAGGATATAAGGTCCCTTCTGTTTTCCTGTTTGCAGAGAATTCCAATATGGTGGAGGTGGTACTATTACATTTGCCCTGTCTCTTGGACATTGTATGGATTGCTTACTTCACAGTTTGGAGATATCCAGGAAGAGCTTGAATCAAATGAAACAGTCGAACAGTTCTTGAGGAGTTACTTCGGATACAGGCGCGAGTTCTTGGGATATGTTGCACTGATCATCACTGGATTCGCGGTGCTTTTCGCGTTCATTTTTGCCTTCTCAATCAGGCAATTCAACTACCAGAAAAGGTGAAGAGTTCTGAAAGAATGCCAAACCTCAGGAAACTCTTCTGAGTTTCGGAAGAGAGATAAACATCTTATATTTATGAAACATGATTGGTTGGTTACATGTAGAGTTTCAACATTGTGGTCTACTTTCTTATAAAGCAGATATATAATGAACTCTCTAAGATTTTACGCTTTAACGACGCACGAAGCAATTAAAAACTCAAGGAATGAAATCCAAGCAGGCAAATTGCAACCGCGAGCCAATACAAACAAACCATAAGATACCAGGAAAGAGTCAGAACCAAGAAACCACATTGCTAGTAAAGAGAAACTAACACAGCTTAAATTTTTTTCCCTTTTCTAGACACATGAATTGAGGAACACATGAACTCCAGCAATGGAAATACACAATAAAAAACTAAAGCTACACGCAAAATCAATTATGAAAACTCAATGACGAGTCCAATATACGCGGCCCTCAACCGTAGCTGGCCCAATTTCAAAAAATGATCCAACCGACTATTCGGAAGTTTCTAGGTCGGTTCCTAATTACTTTCCTACTAAGAAAGAATTTCATAACCTAACTCTATAAATAGGGATCAACCTCTCAAATGAAAGGTACACTCTACGCACCACAGTCTATACCCCTATTACAATTACTCTTACTGACTTAAGAATCGGAGTATCTACCATCGGGAGACCCCGAGGCCCTCTTTTGTAGGTTTTAGGGTGTTGATACCGCCTAGCTGCCGGTTCAATCAACTGGAGACATTGGTGCAGATTCATGCTTCGTCAAGTGACACGCCCAGTGGGACCCGATTAGGTTTTTCCTCTAACAAATCTTTCTCGCAAAGAAGGTGGAGAAAGGGTTGATTGTCTCCTTTCGATCGTGGATGAAAGAAGCTTCACGAGAAGCTTGAATCATCCAGATTATCATAATTGCTCCTGGGATCGGAACTATTCAACTTTGCAAAACAAGCTGTTGGCTTGTAAAGCCATCGAAACAAATTCCCTCAAAAGAAACAGCCTCGACGGTGAGCCGTGAATCACACGAATCTTTAATATGAGTGGTACTAAAAGTTGGAACAAAGGTTTGATTTCGAGAACCTTAACGTCTGGTTGCTCTCTCTTTTTCTTGTTTATGATTAATATATTCAAGTAGTTTGGGTATCGCGATATGCAACCTAGGCTAGCAACGGTGGTTTTGATTGTTTCTTTCAATATGTTAATCATGCAAATAAATAATCATGAATGTTGGCATTATACCACCCATCATACGAGATGTGATTTATAATTTGTTGTTAGATTGATACATTCAATAAACATGTCACCTTCCAAAGGCTTTAAAAAATAATATTGCAACAAAATTTGGTCAGCTTTAACCATACACCTTTATTTTTGAATATTAGACTTACTCCAATTATGCGCCATGATTGGGTCAGTGTACATTTTAGAGTTTTGCGATCACCCTTGTTCATGCGAATTAAATCTTAATTCTAGATTCTTGAGGGTGAAGAAGCCATATATATATATATATATATATATATATATTATATGCTACTTTGACAATCCGTTTGATTTTGGTTTCGATACGGGGATCTCTATGATTTTGAATCATTCTCGAGATGTGTCTCCTTCGAGTTTTGATAGCCGAGGGCAGTGAACGGAGATCATAGTTCACACAAGGCCCAAATTCGGATAAAAGCATGATCGAACATGACCGTTGAATCAAGGATGATCGAACATGATCACATACACGAGCTTTGCCAAATCAAGGCATCTAGGTTCTATGTTTTCAATTAATATAATGTTGATTATGACATCACCGGCTGTATGCTTGAAGTTTCATAAAGGCTTTCTCTGAAATTTTGATGTCGCGGCGAACTCCTAAATTAAAAGCCCCTTTTTAGGATAGAAACATATACATACTATAGGTTTCTTGTTCAAGCACTATAGCTATTTTTAAAATTGTGGGGATGTACCCACCACGTAGTCAATTGAGATCCTTGCCAAACCTTTAATTAACCTAATCCTGTTTTGTCATTATCTTCACGTCAAAACTTTAATCCATGAAATTCTTGTGAGGGGAATCAAGGTCTAATGATGTTGATTAATGATCAGACTTATCATAAACACAGGAAGGAAAACTTTGAGAAATAAGCTGGTCGTAGGGACGGCGGACATAGAACAACCATCTCATTCCTTGAAATATTCGTTTTGGTTGTTTAAGTCATGGATACAAGGAATAGACTTGTTTCTTTATATAGTTGGGTTATAACTCTAATTTTGGCCATACATACTTCTCAATTATAACATCTGACTTTCATAAAAGCACAAATTTCTTTGATCTTGGGATTGGTATGTATTTTGGTTTTTGGCTTTCAGGAGAAATTACTCTTGCGCGCAAAACAAACCTAATTATTTTGATTACTCGCAAGTCATTGCCATTATGGAGGGCATACTACAACATCTCCTCCTACATAAAACCTTCTCCATGTCATTGAGAAACACCATCAACCCATGGCCAGTATACATACAAGGTCGACGATTCAACTTATTAAGGTCTATTGGGCTTTTGCATTAAGGAGGTACTCCGTTATGGTTTTCTCCCGAGGAGGCGCTCGTCGACCACCTCAACATCATAATACTCGGATTCGATAGCACCACTTCGAGCACATCTCATAAGGGTTCATTCGACCACATAGAGCTATGCAAGCATAGCTCGATTTTTTGAGGGACCGAGGGCACATATAGCCGTGATCGCAGAAATCGTCCCTGTGACAAGAGTGGAGACAATCTCCTTGACTGATTTGAAAAGAGATAAGTAGCCCTAAACTTACTTATACCGTATTACCATGCAATTCTGGTTGTACTCTGTAAATAACACATTAAACATGTGTGCCTCCTTTGAGGTGATCTCACGAAATGTGGTAGTTTTGATAACTTGCCCGAACTTGTCACAATTGTACTACTTAGTTTTGCAGGTCGTACAATTCGAGTAACATCCTTCTCGAACTACGAAGCGACTCATCCCAAGAGGCAATGGTCTGCTCAAACAACTCAGATAAGTGTTAAGTTTGTTCCGACTTTTCACTATGGGAAACTTCACTTCCATCCCAAGACTCATACATTAAGCATTTTATCTTAAAATTCTCGCAATGATATGTCCTTCGATGTATTCATGAGAACTATATGCAACTTGCTTCACAACGTTCTTTGATATGCCACATGACTTGTACATGCAACACTAATTGTCAATTACATGCTCTTCAGATACTAGAGCCTTCGAAATAAACTTTAAATGTTTGAAAATATCGCACATGCATATTTTTGTGTCATACCCTGATCCACTCAGTTGATTCATCGAGGCAGAGATGGACTCAAAAATCGAGGACCAAGTTTCACTAAGTTAACCGTTAACCTATTCTCCATGCATGCAATGTGTGAAATTGCTAGTTTTTGTATCATTACATTCATGATAAGCCACTGCCTAGACTTCACAAGCGTAATCACAGAATCATGCCATCTATACTTTCTCGAGTGGAGTTTAATTGCTATTGATGATCTAAATTCTAACCATATCACTTTATGTTGATTGCCTCCATCTTTCTCGAAAAGCTGTTACTGTATGATCTTGAGAATAGAAATGCAGGACCTTTCATCATAAAGGCATGCTCGAGTTTTAGGAGAACTTCTTGTTGATTTTGCAGAACTTGTAGAAATATGAGAACGGAGATAGCCCTTCTATGATGCGATATTGTAATCAGGCCGCAGTAGCCTTGGATGAATGAAGGACAAATACATGGTGCATGTCAAAAATGAGCTCCCTCGACAAGAATGAGGAGTCTCTCGACAAATGGATATTACTACTCTAACTTGTGGATACCCCTAGAAGATTGCCAACAGATAAGTGATACAATCTCCTTATAATTGCTTCAATAGATGAACATCCGCATCATAACGTGAATGTTACGATAGTTCATAAGCATGGAATGATTGTTCTTGTTCTCCTATTATGACACATTAGACATGAGTTTCTTGCACATCTTCAGTATCCTCGAACTTTCACATGAAAACTTCTTGCACAAAAAGTCTTTCTCAGATGCATGATTTATTTACCAATTAGTTGCCTCATAGCACATTAGTATTGAAGCATGACGTTACAGCTTTTACATATATATGGCTTTGTTTACTCTCCACGCGTAATTGTTCCAACCAATCTTAAAGTCAATAACAAGGTCATGTTCATTTTCTTTTGAAAGGGGGAAGATACCCCTCTCGTACTTACAGTTGTCAGTTATATGCTCTAAAGGTCATACTGCAGGATGTTTCCTCTCCCTTGAGCCCTGAGTTGCAATGGATCGTTGTGCCTACTCTACCGAACAACTAACTTAGCCTTGCCATCTCGAAGCCACAATGACTTTCACATCTGATGGTCCAGTTCCATGTCAAATTGCTATGACTCTTCAGGGGTCTGTAGTAAGTACAAATCCCTGGAAAAGCATTACATGATCTCCGCAGCATTCTTTGATAGTGGTTTTGAGCTAAGCAAACCATGACTTCAATAGCCTTGCTCATGTCGTGGTGGGATCTTTCCACTCCGCACATTTTGTCTCAAAATGACTATTATTGAAGGGGATAGACTCCCCCAATAATATATTGAATTCCATGCCATTTCTCGTGCTTCCATAATTTATTACCCAACTAATAAATCTACAAGTGCATGAATAGGTATTTTGTCAGGATCAGAGAAATAATGGTGGTTTATCATGGTGCTGTGCTAGAGAGGCATCACCATCAGAACACTACATCCTCGACAATTATCATGAAAGGATTCGAACGAATACTTCCGTCTAAACCAAGATACGCTCGAACGAGCCTTTGGGTGTGCATCTTTGATCAAGGAGAACGACATATTACACTTGAGTGTTTTCATGTGCTTATTAGTTGAATTTCACACTGTTTACATAAGCATGTTATTATTATACTTGCAATTCATGTCTCGAACTAAGTTGCAGGATAGATATACCCCGAGGAGCAAAAAAGATAGAGATACATAACTCTCGCAGATGATCCCTCGAGGATAGCGGCAACATCAAGTTCGCTCTGACCTTAGGGCATTTATACTTTAAACCCGGGATATAGACTATCGGTCTAATGCACATAATTGTAGCCCACTCAAGTACTCGTGGAAGCTGGTGTATTACATATGTCCAGTTACACCCAATTAAATATGACAAGTCATTTGAACGGACATCCTATTTAGGACCGTTCTCGAGACGGCCATCCTCTTCAGGACCATCCTCAAAAGTGCCGTGTATTCAACATCCAGACATTCATTGGGTCATGCTACCCTTAACTAATACGACTAACAGTCTAAACTCGAGGAGCTCGTATCCAGTTTCGTCGTGGATATCCTCTTCAGGATCGTCCTTGAAAAGACATTCTCTCCAGAATCGTCTATGCAAAGGTATCCTCTTTAGGATCGCCTATTAAAGAACCGTGTACTTAACATCCAGCCATTATAAGCGCTTTACAAATAACTCAGAAGCCGTGTACTCGACATCCGGTATTGAGAAAGGCCTAGATTGTCATGTTCGTGAATAAGGGGTAGACTATCCCTCAAACCTAAACACACATGTTTTATACTTCAATGAGAACTAGACTAGTTCTCGAGTATATTTTCTTGGAGTCATCTATTATATCATCCAGTGCATTAGAAAGAAAATGACTTTATTCTCGATGTTCTTGAGTTCACTTTGTGCCTTGTCAACACAGGCCTATTTCTTCGATTATGGTGGTTGCTGTCCATCTCCTTCTAATAGACGCCATTTTATTGTCTTAACCCTACGAGTATAGGGGCTTCTTGATCAGGCACTGCCTCGAACTGAGTAGCGGAAATTACACTCTCATCTAAAAGTCTCGGTCTGCAAAATGCCACCCCAAGACTTGGGGGCTCCGACATGAATAATGGTTCCAAGGTTATCTATAACAAGGAAGGTTTGTATATGAGAGTTTGTAAGATGTCTTGAATGTGTCTAAGGTGTCTGAAAGGTGTGTAAGGTATTTAGGAGGTTGTGTTTTTGTTTTTTCCGTGATGATCTTGGGTCTATGGATCTCTTCCTATGAGTTTTCTTGACGGTCTTTAATTAATGCTCAGACTGGGGCATTGTTTCTTCTCACACTAATGCGTAATTTCCTCCTTGAATCTTGGGCAATGACATTATACATCCACTTGGGTTCGACACATCAACCTGATTTATACTTATCAAACCCAGACGAATGGTTCTATGCTTTATTTCTCAGGACATGAGAAATGGCAAGCGGGTCGGTTGGGCGGACATAAATAAGCTTAAATGGTTGTGTACCTTCTTCAAGGTCAGATAGTTACCACTCTTGAGTGCTTTCTGGAGTTCTGCTCGAGAGAAACTTCTCGAGTGTCACTATCCCTGCATTGACATATCTCATGCAGCATCTTCTATGGTGTCTTCTACTCTCTTCTATTTCTTCTCTACAATCAGAATGCTTATGGTGACAGTCTCGAGTCTCTGGATTTCTTAACAGAAGGTCATATTGGGGCAAGTTCTCGACGTGCGATTCAATCAAAGACAGTGTTCTTTCTCAAACTTATGTTCTCGATATCGAGTACCAACGGAATATTCTATCTTCATTCATGATATTTCTCAATCCACTACTCTGTGGTTGTTCTCAAGGTTTGGGTCTATTACTTCTCGATCAGAAGTATACGCCACAATTCCCCAGTAGACTCCTCTTTTCAACAGTTGATAGCTTTGACGGAAATTTTTCGTGATGATTCCGTACTACAGTTTGGTGGAGGAACTTTGGGACACCCTTGGGGTAATGCGCCAGGTGCTGTAGCGAATCGAGTAGCTCTAGAAGCATGCGTAAAAGCTAGAAACGAGGGGCGTGATCTTGCTCCTGAGGGTAATGAAATTATCTGCGAGGCTGCTAAATGGAGCTTCACTTCGTTCGTTCCATAGGAATGAATGTGAACCAATTGTTGATAGAGATGATTTGATTAGCTTGGGAGATTGTATCAATCCATTTAATGAGATCACAGGGCTCGAAGCTAATCTTGGAAAAGACACAGTTTTCTTTGCTGGGGTTCTTAGCTACTGCTAATTATATAAATTTTGAGACTAGTGGGAATCTCCACTACGTTTCCTCCTCGACTCTCTCGGTGGATTTCAACCAGAGTCGTCATTCTGGCAGTCATTGTACCTTTGGGAGTTATTGATAGCACATCTCCATATTTCAAGTAGTGAACATCTCCACTACACTTCTTTATCTTCTTCTCACATAACGAAGCATCTGGTTTGGTATCTCCATGGGGTAGATTATTAAGGTCGTCACCTATCGACTTCTCGCTCAAAAGCTTGAACTGATGACTCTTCTTTCTTTACAAATTGGTGTAAATGTCCATCGCCCTTTGTGACGCGCACATTCGAAAAGGTATGTGCTAATGCTTTCATTTCTTTGATTTCTCTTCGATACTAACCTCTCGCAGGTTCTCGATTCAAGTTAGTTCATCTCGAACTTGAGGAAAATTTATATTTCATGTTATCAAGCCTATACTCTCTTTAGACTTCAAAATATAGGCTTGATAGGGGCACTTGACGAGTCCAATATACGCGGCCCTCAATCGTGGCCGGCCCAAGTTCGAGAAACGATCCAACCGACTATTCAAAAGCTTCTAGGTTGGTTCCTAATTATTTTGCTACCAAGAAAGGGTTTCATAACCTAGCTCTATAAATAGGGATCAACCCCTCACATCAAAGGTACGCTCTACGCACCACAGCCCATACCCCTATTACAATTACTCTTACTGACTTAAGTATCGGAGTGTCTACCATTGGGAGACCTCGAGGCCCTCTTTTGTAGGTTTTAGGATTTCAATACCGCCATGGCCGCGGGTTCAATCAACTGGAGACGTTGGTGTAGATTCATGCTTCGTCACTCTAGGAGTTTGTTTGATACTTGTGCCTGCATAAAATGATATCTAGACCATTAGGTTTACAGAACACCATTTGTCGATGTTGCTAAAGCCTTCAGCAGTTGCATCTTCAAGATAGTAGATTCCCATATCTCTATTCTTAAAAAGATAATTAGGTTCAATGTGATGATACTTGAAATAAATGCAATTAGACTTGATCAAGTTATCCAGAAAAGGGAAAGCCAATATGGAGATAGAAACACTGCCGCGGCCAATGAAAACAACATCTTTTCCCAAACCTGGGATCTCACTCCACTCGCATTGCCTCTCATCCAGTTGAAAGACTGCGAATTTCGGGATGCTGTTCAAACGATGAAGGCGGCCCGACGCGAGAATTAGTAATTCCCTGCTTGATGATTCCACAAAATACGAGATTAGCAAGATATTATTGTTGCTAGTGAAAAAATTTCGTCATCCGTGAAATCACAAGCCAAAGCATCCCCAACCCAAACTTGATTTCTGAAGTCCACAGCATAGAAGTTTCCATGGTAGTAAATAACATCATAGAATTCATAAAACACATCCATCGATTTTGTCTCGGTCCACTCCCAGGCGGTAGGCCTCCAGAAGCCCAAGTAATGACCAAATCTGTGAATTACCATGAGAGCAAAATCGAATGTGTGAGATGGATTAGCTGACAGTACAACTTTTTGAATAAGATCATGTTTATAATGAGGAAAGGTACTAAGGTTGAGAAGAGGGATAACTTCATGATTTAAAGGGTTGAACAAATTAAGCTTCCCTGAATCCTTGTCAAAGGTTAACAACCAACCAAACCCTGCTCCCATGCACGCTTTATTTTTAATCTCATAGTGATCTTCCCTTTCGATACGCTGTAAAATTCGCGTTTATCATTACTGTAACTTTCTTTCTCTGGGAGCATAAGCAACGAAATTGAAGGGTAGGAATTGACGAGCTTATCTTTGCTCGCAGCGGCTCGCCAGCAAGTACAAACCCCTTGGAACGCCATGAAATCTTCCACCGCCAGAATGCGTATTGCGATCTGCTCCAACATCTCAGGCAAAAGTCCTGATTGACGAGTCCATATCCACCGAGGATTATTGGACCGGCCCATCTGCCAATTATGATCCAACCGACCTTACAGAGGCGGTTCTAGAACATGAGACCTAATAGGATTCGGCATCCTTCAAGGCAATTCCATGCCTATAAATAGGGTTGATCATACCAGAATATGGATACGCTATCTCTAGCACTCAATACAACTCTTATACATTTCCTGAACCCTTTTTACTGACTTAAGTATCAGAGTGTGTACCCTCGGGAGACTCCTGAGGCTCTCTTTTGCAGGAAACCCTAGCCGGATTTCCACTATCAAGCCGGCAGTACAATTCCAGACTTCGTCAAGTGGCACACCCAGTGGGACCCGAAACTAGTGTTTGTGTCACAAAAGCCTTCGGGTAGGCAGCACAGTCCAGCCGACAACACTAACTTGGCAGAGTTCTAAGGAAGACATGAGATGAAGAAGGCGGGGAGAAGCCATGAAAAAGGGCCTGAGAAGGAACCAAAGAAGGAACGTTTGGTCCTTGGCTCCTCCCAACCTAATCTGAAGAAACCACACAATACCAATCCAGGGACGGAAAATGGCGATTTGCATCCACCTCAAATACCGCAGCATCCAAGAAATATTGGGAGGCTCAAAAGTTGGTCAAGATCGAGGCTGAACTTGAAAAGCTGCGTGATGATAGCGATCTCCAACAAAGGATAGAGAAGTATGTCCTGGAAGTATCCAAGCGTTGCTATCTCCTTGGCCAGCCTGATCCAACTGATCAAGAATTGGCTGATTTGATCGACGAGAAGGAGGCTCGTTGCACCCTAGATCTTCTCGAGGCAAGACGCGGTAAGTGAAAAGTCCAAGAAGAGGAGGACTATCAAGAGTTCTCGAATCGAGAAGGCTTCCTGGAATGTCAATCAACCCCCACATGAGACACTGTTTACTGGAACGCTTTCAGGAAGAAATACGCAGCCTTTGATATAGCCCTAGAAGAGTTATATGCAATATACAACCGCAAAGGTCCTCGAGATTATTACCAGCAAGGATCCCCAAGCGTAGAATTCGTGGGGGAAGGAGACTAAAATCCTCTAAGAAAGACCAATACCCACGACCGACTGGGACCTAATTGGCGTCGAGAAAGTCCTCAAAGAGAGGATTACAGGCCCTTCCATAGACGGGCTCGAGACAATAATGACGCTAGAGGAGAGTATGGACGGGGGAATAATCGTTATCTCCAATATTCACCACCCAGGCGCAAATAACATAACCATCACAGGGAATTAGTACCTCACCTCCTCAGGATCATCAAGTGATAAGGGGGGAGAATGTCTCGATTCGAGAAAAGATGAGAAGGATCATCGGTATGGCGGTAGACCGTAGCCCCTTTATACCCGAAATTTGAGATGAGCCAAAGCCTCAGGACTTTGACTTTCCCAAGGATTTCCCAAAATACTCGGGAGACACTGATGTCTCCCAGTGGCTACAAGGATATGTTCATGTTATGAGAATCAGGAATGCACCATTAAAGTTCATGGCTAAGGCCTTGCCCTCCTATCTGACTTGGCAAGTGCAACGGTGGTTTGGACAGTTACCGGAAGGAAGTATAATCAGTTTTGAAGACTTATCCATCAAATTGGCCACTCGTTTCTTCCAAAGTAAACAAATCACCCAGATGTCCATTGATCTCTCCACGATTAAGCAAGGTCAACTCGAAAGTCTGTTAGATTTCCATCAGTGTTCATTCGAGAAACCCTACAGATTGACAACATAGAAGAACGAGACGTTCAAAATGGATTCATCGAAGGACTTAATCCGTTTGGGAAATCCTCGATGCTAAGGGTAAAGCTCTTGACTAAACCTCCAAGGAATTCCCAGGAGATGAGGGTTATTGTCCAGAATCATATCCAACGAGATCATACACTTACAAGAGTCTTTTACGGCAATTGGGACGAGGGACAAGCCCAAGGTTACCATGGAAAACAGGACAACGTTGCCTAAGCTCGATAGGCAATTGACCCCTTTAACCAAACCTCGTCGTGAAATCCTTCAGATCCACAAAGACAAATTGCCAATGTCGAAACCCTTGGCTCCTAATCCAGACAAGTCGATGGAACAATATTGCGAATACCATAAGGGCCATGGCCACAACACCGAGGAGTGTCGAGAACTCAAGAGGGAGATTGAGAATGGAGTAAAGTTTGAGAAATTTTAGCAATACGTGCAAGTAGCTTCTCGGCAAAGAAACAGCAAGCCCATCACATCCTGAAATTTCTCGAGATGAAATTTTCGGGGTCCTCGAGGGGAAAATCGAGGAAATAATTGGCAACCAAGGAGCAATGCGCAACAGCCTCCCCAAAAAACTATTGAAGGAGCATCACAACCACTTTAGCAAGTCCCTCCAGCGGATCCTACCAAGCAAATCACTCATCAGGTAGGGACCATTTATGGGGCTTCTCTTGAGGTCTTATCTACCAAAGCTATGAAAAACTCAGTACGGACCGTCACAAAAACTCCTCCCCAAGAGCGTAGCCGCAAGAGGTTTAAAGGGACAGAGGCCATAGTCTTTACTAATAGCGATGTGGTCCCTAACATCTGTTCTCACAGTGACGCTATGGTTATCGAGGCAATAATCAGAAACGTGGATGTAAGTCGGGTTTATGTGGATAACGGCAGTGCAGTCGACATTATATATAGCGATTGCTTCTAGAAGATGAACATCCAAAACCCTGATATCCGCACAACAACAATACCATTGATGGGCTTCTCGGGCCATACCATTATTCCAACGGGAATCGTAAGACTCCCCATCACGGTAGGGTCGCATCCTAGGATGGTTACACTAACCATGGATTTCGCCTTAATTGATGCACCCTCACCATTTAATGTGATTCTAGGACGACCATGGATGTGTTAAGCTCGAGCAATTTGGTCTCATTGTCACTTAGTAATGAAATTTCCAACAAAATATGGAGTTCGGGTGGTGCAAGGATGCCAACGTAGCTCTCAAGAATGTTTGCTCACAGCCGTCAAGATTGGGAAGAAGACCATGAAGTCTAACGTGAGCGCTGCCATGCCAGGATGCTACTCGATCCAACAGACACACTCACAGTCAGAGGATCATGACACGGATAGCTTACCGCCAATTAGCAGCAAAAACTAGAGCTTATTCTTAACGAGAAGGATCCCTCCAAGACCATCCATATAGGGGTATCTCTTCTAGAAACATTACTGGCCGAGATAGTCGCCTTGCTAGGTGAGTTCCGTGATATATTCGCTTGGTCTCTCACATAATTGACACGAGTACCGCGAGATGTGATTGAACACAAGCTGAATGTTGATCCCAATGTCAAACCTGTGCAACAAAAGAAGAGAATATTTGCTCGAGATCGTAACAATGTCATCAACGAAGAAACATTAAAGCTCACCTGGTTGGCTAATCCAGTTCTAGTGCAGAAACCTGATAACTCTTGTCGCATGTGTGAAGATTACACAGATCTTAACTCTTGTATCATAGGGTATAGAACCCTCAGCTTCCTCAATGCTTATAAAGGGTACAACAAAATCCTCATGGCACGAGAAGATGCGGAAAAGACAGCCTATATTACCAAGATCGGAGTATATTACTATGACAAGATGCCTTTTGGCTTGAAGAACGCGGGTGTAACCTATCAGTGCCTCGTTAACCAAGGGTTCCATGACCACAATGGTTGAAATATTGAGATATATATGGATGACATGGTGATCAAGAGTAACAGACGAGCAAGTAGTCAAAGACATGCGCGAGATCAATATGAAGCTCAACCCAAAGAAATGCGCCTTCTGCGTACGATCCAATAAATTCCTAGGATACCACATCTCTAAGGATGGAATCAGTGTCGACCCAGGGAAAATTGAGGCTATCCTAACCATGGAGGTCCCGAAGAATGTCGAAGAAGTTCAGAAGCTCACAGGATACTTAGCTGCCTTAAATGGGTTTCTTTCTCGAGTGGCAGAAAGAAGCCTCCCATTCTTTCACATGCTCCGCAAAGGCAGGAAGTTTGAATGGAACAAGGAATGCCAAAAAGCCTTCCAGGAGCTCAAAGAGCATCTCAAATAGCTACCTATATAAGCCAAACCAGAACCGGGAGAAACCCTAGATGTGTACCTCGCTGCTTGAGAAAAAGCCATATCAGCCATCCTAGTCCAAAACAAGGATAGCAAGGAGACACAATACACGCCCATGGAGAAACTTATCTTGATCTTGGTTCTGCTTGCTCGACGCTTGCGCCATACTTCCAAGCACATCCGATCAAAGTGTTAACAGAGCAGCTCATTCAGCAAGTCCTTCTCAAGCC